GTGAGACCAAGCCTCTGCTCTTTGAATATTTCCTTTAGCCAAAGCTTTCCGTTGAAGTAAGACAATTCGGGTTTGGATTTTCTCTCTTTTTGTAAGATAAATACCCTCAGGTTTCTTAGTAATATGTAAAAAATAATTAAAAGTAGTTACAGGCAGGGTATTATAAACACTGCCGTGAAAGTTTATTGTTATTGATTAAATCATGACTGTCCATGAGAATTGGCTGTGATATTTTAATTCTGTTATAAACATTCTTACAAAACGCAAAAAAAATTGCTGAACTCTGTTAACCCTGTATCTATGGTCATTTCAATATAGATAGTAAACGTATTATACACCAAAAAGATAAATTAATGGTATTCGAAATCCAAAGTACATTCTGACGTGAAATTTCTAACGTGTTTTAATGGTGATATTTGGTGAATTTAACTTTTAAAACTCTGTACCAATTGCTGATATTTGGAATAAAATAGCAAGAGAATTTGTTTATATATTTCTGGAAGACAAATTCATCTCGGGAGCTACTGGATTAAATAGTAGTGTTGATGTGTTATTGCGGTCTTTTTGAATTGTTGAATATCATACATAAAATCATTATCGAGTATTAAATAATCGTATAAGTTCACTGTGTTGTTGTTTTGTATCAGTTGTCAATGATGAGAACTGATAAATAGTTCCTATGCAAATAGAGCGTGAACTCAAAAACTAGAAAGTGTGTCTGTGTGCGTGCGCGCAAACACATATGTATATATGCATGTCAGCACTTTGACGTCGTAGAGAGAAAAAAGTAGCTTTTAGAAACTGGATGGTCTCCTAGAGCAGATAGAGATTTAACAATGAAAGTGAGACGAAATGACTTGCCCTTTAAAATATGATTGACCAGAATTGCAATTAATCCTATGCATGTGATCATTGAGATTCTTTTAAATTAACAATGAGAGATCCATTGGTTCAAGGGTCACCTCGTGGTGGACAAATTTTGTCTAATTATTTCAACATCGAAATGTCGAGGTTAACAGTTTCCCATCATACGGCAAGTATTTGAGCTCAGTTAATAATATACATTTAGCAACACTATTCAATCCACTTCCCTAAACAGTAGTAATAAATGATGTGTAAATTCAATTTCAATGATCAAACTGTGAACATTTGACACTTGTTAACTGACCAAAAGATGATCGTTTTGTCTTCAGGACTACTAAACGCTGCAGCTAACCTCCTCTAAAATAACGTAAAATCCTCAAGATTCTTTTATGTATTGCCAGCATAAACTAAAATACAAATCAGCTCTTCACTATTAACAGTTCTGCTTTTAGTCTTACCCAGGAACAATTTTGTAAAAAATTCTAACAATAACTTAATTTTGTTGTTCTGTAATGTATGCCCCAACCAGCTAATCATTTATTAATTGGTATCAACACCTGCGTTTAAAACAGACATTTGCACTCAAGTTAGACACTATAATTTTATACAGGCTCTTTAAGTTACAGTCAAAAGTGAAGGATTTATTTATATTGTCAAAAAGTCGGAGGATTTTCTTTGAAAAAATTATTGTCTAAAATTATTCAAATGAAAAATTAAATTCATTTTTGAACATGTGAATGAATCTCTTGAATAAAGCGGTCCGCCTCTAGAGTTTAGCAGAATGAGCCAATCGAGGTGGTGCTTGAACTAACCAATTAACAAAGAGACTGCCTCGTCCCTAGAGAAAGCGTTCAGGTGATTGGTTAATGTTCAAACGGACCTGCCTATGAATTGCCGTCTTTCCCAGACGGGGGCGTGTTATCACGCAGTGACACATATCTCGAGCGGGGATTGGTCCACCATCTGGGCTCTTGAGCGTGGCTGGTTGTTGGCTTGTAGGGCCGTTCGCTGATTGGCCGGCGCTGTTGTGATTGCCAGCCACTGGGAGCAGAGCGGCGGGCGGAGCCTGGGGCGACTCACCGCGGGCTCAGGCACATTTAAACACTATGGAGGAGAGTGAGCGCCACTGAATACAGAGCAGGGGGCCAGCGCACTCCGGGGAAACGGGAAACCCGCCTTCACACACACACAGCGGACAAATTGCATAGGAAAACGCCAAAAAAGCTGGAATTCATAAAGGGATTTTTTTTCCGGTTTCGAATGATTTCGAAGTTAAAATTCACTGCTGTCACTGGGTAGCAATTGGATCTCTTTTTTGGGGGCAATGAATTGCATTTGTCAAACTTAAGTTTTACGTTCCTTGCACAATCCGTCCGAAACCTTGTGGATCACAAAGACGTAGGACCTGCAATTAGTGGCTGGCATCGAGACCTTCTTCTGGGTTTACGTGGGGTGATGCTCACCCCTCTTTTGTTTTTGGGAGTATAGGTGAAGGGGTTAAATCCAGACCAGGAAATCGAGGTGTTCTCCGAGTTGAAGACCGGCTGCGCCTTTTCATGGAAATCCACTGTAAGCACGACCCGTTTGCAGCAATGCATAGTAAGTAGGCAGCTCCTTCCCTGGCTTGTCTGGCGGTTCCTAGTGAGCGATAGTGTGTAAGGAGTGCTGGGAGACCCGGATCCACAAGCTGGTGATCAGTGACTCCTAGACCCGGAGCAATGCGAAGTCTTTGAAAGGGACTCCTTTTTTTAACAGAAAGGCACGATCGAGTGACACGTGCAAGGTTCATTTTAATATCACCTCCGGTTTTTCCCGAATTATAAAAGAAAACGAGTTAATGCAAAGATTTCTGAATTCTCACAGTTAAACCGAAAGCGACAGCACAATTGCAATATTATCTTAAAGGCTTGTACTTTTACTTCCAAAGGGCATGTGATATAGTTGCTTTCTGTCACAACATCGTTAGTAAAAGTCAGCCGCATCAATAGATGATTCATTAAAATTCGTGAACAAAACAAAATAGTTCCTAGTAATTTGCTAGCGAACATTAACCTACAGATTAAATAAGGTCGGTGTGTAACTGTTTAATTTTGCTCTTTTCGATTGCAATGACTTTTGTGCTTAACCGGCGAAGATTAAGTTGATATGGAGCAGTGAAAGTCCGTTCTGAAGGTTGTAGACCACGGAGAATATCTCCAGCACGTTAGTTTCGCTTGACAGAGTTGGCTGGGATTTGTCCATTTGGTCGGTGTTATATGAAATGACACATTCTATCACGGTGTGTTAAGAGTTATTATACCTACTGCTTGTAAACAGATGCTTTATCAACTCGAACTAATCATATTGTAGAGGGAACTAAACACAGTTTAGGAATCGCACCTCGTTGACCAAGTTTATTTAGTATAAAACAGGATGGAGTTTTTCTGCCGTCTCCAAAAAAAAATATCGATATGAGATTGTTGCTATATAGTGATGTGGAGTAAAGCGCGCACACAAACTTCCAGATCGAATCAAACAATATCGATTTTAGGAAAACCGTTCAAAGTCGGGCGATTGTTACAATTCTATTCAGAATTTATCCGCTCCCAGTTTGAATTTGACGTAAACTTATTCGCGAAAGTAAATGACCCTGGCTTGTGTTTTGGAAAGTGGACCAAAATCTCAAAATAAAACTTAGAAATTTAAATGGATCTCCCGTGAAATCTGATGACACGTATATATTTAAAAAAAATACCAAATGACCTTACAGTCGCGATCTTCTTGCTCCACGGGGTGAAATTAGACGCCAATTCTTTAGAAAAAAAAGGAAGTAGTGTATCATTTCTGACTCATTAGCAAAACGTTAATTTCACTTATTGTTGAAACCAGGGAAAGGGGCATTGGAAGAGGCTAAGTAGCCCGCGGCGCCAATTACCCCTCTATCCCAGGTATTAGACCGTCCCCGTTTTAACTTTCGTCTCCTCTGGCTGAAACAGCCTCATAAAAAAAAATTGAAGTAGGCCGATTTTTCCTTCCCAGGTATTGCAGCAGTAAAATTGTGTAACCGATTGACATTCATCAAATACTTGTCATAGTGAGGGAAGGGTATTATTTTATTTCTGATTGTAGATCCCAGTTGCTTTGAATGCAATTTGGAGCTGTTAGAGAAAAAAAAACGCTCTAATTTCGTGTTAGGATTTCCCATTCACTTTCCCAATGGTTTTCTTGAAAGACTTGTAGAAATGTATCATCACACCGGGACAGATAACCCACAAACTGTTCCAAAAAGTCTAGCAAACCTCTAACAATTCTGTTAGATTCGGTTTGAGAATGGAACCCTTTGCTGTGCTGCAGCCGATTACTCAATAGGAACATGTCTTGGTCCCACAAGGTTGTGAATGCGACTAAAATCCGTCCACAGATCTCCGAACGACCACTTTTTTTTAACACAGGAAGCTGAAGTGTCACCGAAAGGGGCTCATTTTCTGTTCCGAATTCAGTGGATCACTTTCGCTTTCAGTGAACGACTCTTATGTGTCTGTAATTCAGAACAAAAATCATTCTGCTTTTGTTAAAAAAATAAAGCTGTTAACTGAAGCTAGTGTGGGTCCATATTGTAGACATCTCACAATACACAGGGGTATAAAATCCTTGTTCTTAGCCGGAGGTCCAGTTGCTGGCGGAGAGTGTGTGGCTGTGATCTGCTGAGATGAAGTGTGTACCGGGAAGCTGCGGGCTCCCTGTGTTCCTGTGCAGCCTAATTCTGGGGCCACGTTTGGAAACTGTTCCCCTCTTTTAAACACACTGCCTTGTGCCCTCATCCTCCTGGTCTCCTCACTCTGCGATGTGCCTGCAGTATCTTCCCTCCCTAAGTCTCCCCCTCCCCCATCTTTCCATGCAAGTAGACAGCTACTTAGTGGAGGGGTGGCGGAGCGGGGGTGGGGGCGGGGGCGGGGGTGGGGGTGGGGGTGGGGGTTGCTGCTGGTAGGGGTGGGGGATGGGGGGAGGTCACTCCTTCTCCTGCCCATGTTTCTGCTTGGGCCCTGCGCGTTGCCATTAGACCCGAGCTCGGAAATGCAGACTCGGTATTGGAATTCTACTGTAGAGCCTGCAGTGTTTCTTTTCTCTCTCTTTCTTGTTTTGTATGTTGTATACAGGGCACGGCGGAGTGAATCAGCTCGGAGGGGTCTTTGTCAATGGTCGCCCTCTCCCCGATGTTGTCCGGCAGCGGATTGTCGAGCTGGCCCATCAAGGGGTGAGACCCTGTGACATCTCCAGGCAGCTCCGGGTGAGCCACGGCTGCGTCAGCAAGATTCTGGGCAGGTAAGAATCTGGAAGGAAAGGAAAATATCAGACCAGAGTCACTGTCTGGTATAACAACGGGGCCCACACTGACCCATTACAAATCCACAGCATAGACTTTAAAACCTAACTTAGATAAAATGGCATTGGACATAATAAGCGAATGTAAACTCGTAGAGTCAATATGTTGAGTTTCAAAGCCAAAATTGCAAGTAGGTTTCAAAAACCCTAAATAAATCAAGAATGACAGTGTAAACTGGAAAACATTGATCATGGGACTGTGTGATAGAGCCTCATGGTAATATTGGAAACAATCTTAGAGGCAAGTGAGTGATAATGGGAAATAGTGTTAGAGGCAAGAGAATCGGTAGTAATTCAAACCTAACATTGCAGATATGAGGAGCAGAAATAATCCAAGAGCGACATATCCCAGACAAAGCCTTTCCTGCAGGTAATCCATCAGAAAGGATATGACAACAAGGTAATCCTTAAATTAAGAGAATCAGATATCAGAGAATAGCAGAAAACGATTCACCAAAATCCCAGCTAATGAAAGGCACGCATAATGCAGAAAACATCCTTAGGTTATAAGAAATCAAAATAATCCTTTAATGTATGTGGCTCCTTCCGGTACAGGCAGTAAACACCTGCTAGGTACATAGATAAACGCTCAGAAAACCAGTGACTGTTTCAGCACGGGTGTCTGTCAGGTTTTATTTGTTGCGGCTAGAGTTTTCTGTTTTGTGTCTGGGCACTTGGCACACTCTACCCCCGTACTTCAAATATTAGCCCTGACCGCTGTCATGCCTTTATACCAACCAGTATCCACACAGTACCGACAAGGGCAAAAAGAAAGTTTCAGAGCCGTGTATCTACCAGGCTATACTAAGCTGAAACGTCACACATATACATAGATTTTTATCTGGACTCTGTAGTGGGTTCCAACTGCACTAATATGAAACTGTGTCAAATGTAAATATCTTTACACATGTATATAGGCGGCACCCAGCCCCGTGTGAACACCAACCAGCTAAACGCTGCATATTTGCGTCTACAAAAAGGAAACACGCATACAGATTCACAACCGAGAGGGGTCAATCTAAACAAGGCCCTTTCTAATTCCTTTGCACACTGGCTGTCACAGTTTAAGTAGATATATTCAACCCATATTTCAAATACATCTGTGATGACGCATCTTGTAACGGAAAATCGTCCACGTTACACATAAAGGTGACTTAATTCCTGTGGAAATTAACTGCGTCACAAATTGTGTTACAAAATAAAACAGTCAGAACTGACGTTTAAAAATGGAAGTATAATCATCATATAGTGTTGGCCATACGATTATTATAGGTGCTGCGAGGGACTGAGAGATTTGGATAGATGAAACCCTTTTCATTGGATTGTAACCGTGGGATTTAAAATAGCGATGAGCTGTGTATGAACATAGAGGCTGGGGTACAAGAGGGACGTTATTACCCGTGTCGGTTATATGTATCAAACACAGGCAGGAAATGAACTTTTTGTTGATACTTTGCTAGCGGTCGAACCAGGGAACATGTACAAAGTTTTTATTGGCTTTGGTGAAACCTTCTTTCTGAATACATTTGGAGACGTTCCATGCTATTCCCGGGGATTTTCCGTGTTCCTGCTCTTAGAGATGAGGACTCAGCCCTAAATAGTTGTGTTCCAGGCTGTGTTTAGATTTGCTTCACCGTTGTCCAGCACAGTTTAAGGAAGTTTAAGCAGGCCTGATCCAGTCGCCGCTCGCCGCATTTCAGGCGTGTAAACCACCGCACGAGGAGACGTTTTTTCTTCCAACACCAAAACAAACCGGGATAACCTTTCTCAGTCCCGCGTAGGTTTAAAATTAATGGATACAGCAAACATTCGACAGCTGGGAGTTTGGGTTCAAAAATGCAATGTGTTTTGGTCATAAAATGGCTAAATTTTAGACAAAATAAACGAAATTTTGTCGCAAACTACACCAGTCGTTTTTGGAATTCATGATAAATTACGTTGGGTCCAAACTACAATCGCAGATCAGAGTCCGGATAGTTAATCACACATGGTGAAGGCGTCAGTTTCTGTGCTTATTAACGCCAGGTTGCAATGTCCACTATACCGCGAAGCGTTTTTGTACATTTTCTTTTTTTTTATTATTAGTTTACAATTGGTGAAGGGTTAGTTCAATTGCACATGTCTTATTTGAACATCATGTCACGGTTGAAAGTTGGGCAAACGAACAACGAAACGCCTTCTAAACAGTAAGGTTCCTAGTTACAACAGAGTGTTGTGAGCGTTTAAACACAGGCGCAAGAATAAATTCTAATTACATTGACAAATCATTACAACGTCGCAATAGCTATGACTTCCCTCACATTTCCTATCAGCTTAATTTAAGTTATTAATTTCAATGAATCTGTCACGACTTTAGAAAAGCTGTCTTTACTAATTAATCTAATAATTAACTAATAGTCACCGATTGCCTTCGGTGTTAATAAAAACCTGACATGTTTGTAGCCAAATTTCACGGTTCATCTGCAAAAGTAATCCGTTTGGACAAAACCTCGACCAATTCACTGATATTCCCGGCGCTTCGCCACCACTAACTTCTACCGTTCGGACTCAGCAATAATACTGAGCTCAGATCAGGCTCCAGCGACAGTCGTAGGCTCAAGAGAAGGCAGGGTAAAAAAAAACCGTAAACAGAAACGAAAAAAGAAACAAGCTTATGTAGTAGAGAAGGCTGGTCGGAGAGTAGTGAAGGAGGAATTATCATTCTGGTCCCCACTGACTGAGCTTTAAGCACATCTAGCAGACCACAGTTGCCACCGGTCCCATGTTTTCCTCGCATTTCTTCCCTGCAAGGTCTGTCCAACAGAGAGAGTCATGATGCTGTTATTGCAGTCAAATACCCTCCACTGAAACAGATCAGCAGGTCCACTCCATTGGTATGTCACAAAAACAAGAACAGTGAGTGCGTTTGCTTCTAGGGCGCCTGTTTAGGCGGACACATTATTTGAAATTAAACGCTCATTGCTCTTCTATCTGAAATCTCTGCTGATTTATTGATCTACTTCTCGCGTGAAGGGCACTGTGGTGAGCGGTTTAACAATGCAAAACCGCTCTCGCCGTTTAAAGCTTCATTAAATAAAAACTTCTCACTTTGTTTGAGACAGCCAGCAGTTTTGCTGGGAATCTCACGACATGGTTGGTTGTCTAACGTGTTTTCTTATTTATTTTCAAGCTGAGGGATTCTCAAAGGTCATCATTCAGAGCTAATTTGTTTCATTTTGGGATCTGTCAGTGGGCTGTGAAGTTTCAAAGGATACCGTGTCCACACCTACCTCCCGTTACATAGCAGGGGTCTCAATTTATTTCCCTATGGCCGACAATTTGCGAACAGTAATACAGAAACCGGTATACAAAAACAAAGTACCAGAGATGTTGGAAACACTTAGCAAGCCACGCAACATTTGTGGAGCGAGAAACAGAGTTAACATTTCAGCTTCTGATGAAAGCTCAACGGTCTGAACCGTTAGCTCTGTTTCTGTCTCAGATGCTGCCAGACCTGCTAAGTATTTCCAACATTTTCTGTTTTAATACCGAACACCTTGTGCATTGCTTCATAGAGAATAGACCTGACCTTGAAATTTGAGAAAGCTAAGGGAAGCTTGGGAAAATAAGACCAGAGGGGTAGAGACAAAGAGATGGAAGAAGCCGTGAGAGTAAAGAAAGCGTAGGGATGAGCGAAATAGAGAGCGAGTTGTGGCGAGAAAACATTCAGCCAATGTTACCCCGGTTTGGAATGGGGAATGGTATTTTTTCCCTCTCTGCCAGAAATGATGTCCTGTGCTGTTCTGCTGGAGTCCGTCAGCTCCTGCTGTCGTCCGGATTTGTGTGCTCAGGCCCGTGTTTCCAACAGACACCTGGTTTAGTTTTGAGAAACTTGGACTGTGTCAGTAAAAAGAGCATCCTGAAGGTGTCTCTGTTTGGTGAGTTGTCCCTTTAACCAGCCTTCAGGGCTTGGAGGTGTTTCAACGCCTTGTGGAGGTTCACAGCTGGTCACACCGTCAGGAACAAACAAAAGAAAACCGGGAGAAAAAAAAACAGGTTTTGTTAGCGTCAATGTAACTCCCATGTAACACTACGTACGGTTGTATTGCTGACTGTACGTTGTGTAATCGTAATTAGCTACCTTATCAAATAATGTCTTTCTAACCCGTTGTCCAAGTGCTTAACCCCTAGTTTTGAAAGGGAAGGTGCATACGATAGTGTGCATTGATTCATTTTCACCTTTGTCTTACCCCCATCTCCGTTTCTCTATCTGCCTGCCTCTCTTTGGCTCAATCTGTCTCCTTTCCCCCCAGCTGCTTTGACTGTTTCGCTCACTCTTTCTCTCAAACTTTTGATCTTTCGAGCTCTCCCTTAATTCCTTTCCCAGTCTTTTATGCGAGTTTCTGGGTCTGTTTCTATCGACGCTACTCTCCTCCCTTTCATTTTGTCCCGACTAGAAGCTACCCATTAGGTTCAGTACCAAGGACAGAGGCTCGTTTCATATTTTGGTACCGGTTCTGGATTGCGCGGGTTTGGGTGATTCGTGGTAGTAATCCAGCGCACACTAACGGGCCGAGATCAACAGGATCTTCTGGGCGGTCGCACAAATTGGCTTCACATTGCTGTCGACAGCGCCGCCAACCTCACAGAACACATAGGATCCAGAAAAAAAGTAGATTTTGAATTAAATCAATGGGAGAGAGAGAGAACACTGACCAGAGGTGACCTGATCCGGCAGGTCTGGCGTGATTAACCAGGGAGAGGTCGAAAGATCAAAGCGTGGGTCGAAGGGGACAGAAACAAAATGAGAGAGAAGGAGCCAGAAATGAAGGAGTGTGCAGTCAGGAAATTAATAATCCTGCCCAAAAATAGAATAAAAGCAAGTTGGAAAGGGTGATACGGATTATAATGATTTTGCCTCTCAGTTGGAAGTAAATAATACACAGAAATAATTTGTCCATATTTTACGGGGGGTGGGGTCTGTTACTGTATCCTTTTGTTTCTTTAATTTTTCTGTTCATCCATCTACTATTTTCCATTCAATATGTCCCACTTTCTTATTCACTAGGTTTTCCACTTGATTCCACTCCCTTTAACTTTGACTCTTTCGGTGTTAGGGATCGGATAGAAAGCGGGCTTGAGGTTTGATGGTGAATCCAGAGAACAATTTACATTTATAGAAATTAGAAGTATGAGGCAACTCTAAATGTCTCTAGTACATTCGCTGTAAAAAACTCCTGGTGCACCTACAGAATATGAAGAGTATGTCAGAAACAAAAGGGAGTAGCAAGTTAAAACGTTTATGTGCGTGAGAATTGGCCTCTGATCCTGTTCATGCGTAACTGAATATTTTTGGAGTATGCCAGCAGAATTGAAATATCCACAATCCCTATTTCGATGGTTCTTAAAACCCCAATGAACAACACGCCAGTTGCAGCTCCTGCCCAGTTTTAGATCTTTGGAACTGAATAGTAAGGCGTCCCCTCCATTCTCGATCTCCTTTCGTGTACTCTGTTTCCTTCGCTTCTTCCTGTCCTATAACTTTTTTTTTAAAAGTGTGGAAATCTAGAGCGTAGGAAAAGCCGTACTAATGTGGCATCATGCTTTCCAATTTGCCTCACTAAATAGAGAGTTGTATTTATGGGCAAGTCGAACTGCGATCAGGCCATAGTTGAAATCGAGGCGGGATGTCAGTGTGTAATTCCACACTTCCACAGATTGGTCAATGAACCAGTGACAATGCGGGTTGAACCTTCATACAAGTTGTTTACATGTTTCACTGGACTTTTGTCGAGGTGCTGATGCTCAGAATAAAATTCATTACTCTAATGATTTGAGGCTGAAACAGTAATATGTAGGAATGGGCCACTGCAGATTCTAACTATGGATTTTTAATAATTAGAACAACGTTAATCTTTTTCTCTCCCATTTCAGCATTTAAATTGTTTCCTTTTGAGACACCAAGTTAAAGCCGAAATTATATACGCGCTAGTGTTACGCTTGGCAAAGGCTTCTCAAAGATACTCTCTACATTTAATTGGTGCAACTGTCTATTTGGCGCACCCTGAAATGGCAGATCGATTTTCCCGGTTTTATTTATGAAAGTAAATGAAACATTCCAAAACAAAAGTGAACTGTCTGAACATGCATTTCCTTTTTAAGACTAAGTTAGTATTTAGAGAGGAGCATGCTGATGCTATTGGGGTTAATTGTCAGAATTAGACTATGTACATTGACCCTAGAGATTGTATCAGTATTATTTTCGATATTTCTGTCAAAATTTCTAATAAATTGACAGACAAAAACTGCACCACATTCACTGAAATTGAGGCCAAGTAAATGACCTCCTGAGAGTCAATTGGCATAAGTAGTGTCTTCTACAAACCTACGAAAAAAAAAAGACATGGAAAACTTACATTTAGAAGACATCTTATTATAGCTCTCAGAAATATCGGAAAGGGCTTGAAAACAATAAATTACGCGGAGGCACAGTCACTTCTGTCATAGTGGTTATGTTGCCATACCTGAAGTACTTGGTAATAGAAACATGAACACTTCGATCAGTCTGTTCATCAGTTAGTACTGTACCTGCAAGAGTAAATTAAAAGCTTTCTGTCTGACTTTTATGACTTTCTGATTTTTTTCTCATGCTCTTTACTGGGAAAGATCTGTGCCTTGTCCCCTCTTCATGGCCGCACTCACCCTCTTCATTCCATCTTCACCTAAGCTGCTTTTCCCTTTCCTTCTGCATTTATTGTACTTTCTTTCTTTATCTTCCCTGACTTCTTTGCTAGCTGTTTTCTGTTTTTTTCCTCTCTCCCTTTCTTGCACTTGCAGTTAATCTTCCTCCCGCTATCACACAAATCTGTATCCCCTTTAATCATTCTTTTTGGTATTCGATTTTTGTTGTGTTAGAAATGTGCAGCATAGATCGACATATTGGAAAGGTTGACAACATACAAAAGAAATAAATGCATTAGACATCTTAAAATCTTAAATTAAATGTAAATAACAAAATAATGACAAAGTAAAAATAACAGTTAATGGAAGCATCGTAAAACAAAAAGAAACTAATGCCTGATTGAAAGTTAAAGCTAAGTCAAAATACAATGCTAAGAATTTTGAAATGCCTATTATTTATTTAAGGCACTCCACGCAAAACATTTCATGATCAACTAGATGTGACTATTCATTTTTTAAAATATCTGCCTACATAACTTCATAAGAGACAAAAAAACTACTAGCATAACATTGAAAATTGCATTTGTTACTCTTGAACCATTGTGATGAAAATGCAGAGGTAAAATATGACAGTAAAGATCATAGACCTTTCCGTATTGTCACAAATCATGAAACTGCTGTCTGACAATGTGTTAAATAATAAATCTTTTTTCACCCTCAAGAAGCTGGCTGCATGCTGGAAGTGGTCATTTTGTAAGTGATTAATTTGTAAGTTCATTAGCAAGGAAATTACCGAGCTAAAACATTTTCTCTGTTATGCAACACAAATGCACATACGTACACAGGCATAAGCACACATTTACACACGCGTTATGCACACGCACGCATCAACAAATATACGTTATGTACACAAATGCACAATGTGTACACATTCAGTGACATGTATATACGCCACTGGATACATTTAAATTTGTTAGGCACATCCAAGCACACTTTTTAAAGATTACTAAAATAGAACACTTGCTTTATTACCTTTATAATTTAAAATGGTTTTATCACTAATGGGACATGAATCAATCACACGCATCAGAAATGTTTGGCAGAGACCCTTTAAGTGAATTCTCTTTGCAGTTTAATTTTGTTTTTATCCAGGATTTTGTCCAATCTTAGGTAATGCCTTATAATTTCCTTCTCGTTTTCTTTTTAAAGGTATTATGAGACTGGAAGCATTAAGCCAGGAGTAATTGGAGGATCCAAACCAAAGGTCGCTACACCCAAAGTGGTAGATAAAATCGCCGACTATAAGCGCCAAAACCCCACCATGTTTGCCTGGGAGATTCGAGATAGACTGTTGGCAGAGAGAGTCTGTGACAATGATACAGTGCCTAGTGTCAGTTCTATTAACAGGTACTGACCCATAGGGGGTGCACTGCCCAACTTTAACTCACTTTATTGTTCTCAGTCTATACAGCAACTTTATTGTGTTTCAGCGGTTTGCAAATGGGACTGGAATAGATGGACAAAAGAAATAGAAAATAAAAAGCTGTTAACACTAATTTTAAGAAGCTTGGTCAACTAAATATTATGTATATAACTTAAAAAAATATATTTAATTTTCCCAGATTCCCATTTCATCTTCTGAAGTATTAGATCTTAATTGAGGTACAGCTATACAGGTTCTAGTACAGTCTGATGTCATGCCCAAGTGATTATTTCTCATTCTGCAACTGTCATTCTACACAGTGGCTTTCCACAGCATTGCTTTCTTTCCTACTCAATTCCTTCTTAATATCAGTTACTTCGTTCTGTCACCATGCAACCTTGATGACTTTTTTCTTGCTACATGCACTTACCTCCTTCTGATTGATCACTTTTGGCATTGACAACTGTTTTTCTTTAATTGTACAAAGCTGGGTCATTATGGCTGTATCTTCCTCCTGCCTTTCATTCTGGGATCCTTAAAATAGTTTCTTATGATTTTTAAAAGTTAGGTTCACCATGTCTGTCATAAATCTGAATAGTGATCTAATCTTTGACTCTACTGGTAGTTCTTCATACTTGTGGTTAAAAATCTGCCATGATGACAAATGTTACATTCACTTCTCCATGGCTGAGGTTGTCTTCTTGAAGCATAATTTTTCACTTTCATACAAAGTGTCATTCATCAATGACCCTTCATTCTCATTTGCTCAAGTTGGTTAAAAGAACACAAGAAACACTTGAATACTGTTCCAAAACCTCTTTCTTGTACTCTTCGGTAGCTCAACATCCCTCTCTCACTTCTAGCATTCAATTTCTCCCATTCGTTCTATCATCTATACTACTACAGCCAATTCCCTTGTTAACTTTCTTTCCTACTTTTCTTCTAAGCTACAGATAGACCATCCGAAATTTCTTTCCACCTGCCTACATCTGTGGTGCATTAAAATTAAAAGTGTTAACTGACCCTACTGAGTCTGCTTCTTTAAATGATCCTTTCTGGGGTCCTCAAAACTGAAGTAGAATCATAGAATGGCTATAGGACAAAAGGAGCCTGTTATGCATTCATTCAGGATTCTGTAAGAGCCACCTCCAGTCTGAAAGTAACTATTCACCACTACTCACTGTTTTCTATCCTATGGCCAATTCCATATCCCTGCTGTCATTGCTCCTTTTGATTTGGTAAGCTTCAACTTTATTGACAAGCCTGCTGTGTGGCATTTTATCAAATGGCCTTTGGGAGTCCCTGTATTCTTGATCAACCACATTACTCTCATCAAATTGGTAGTATAGTGGACAGTGAAGAAGGTTATCTAAGATTACAAAGGGGTCTTGATCAATTGTGTCAATGGACTGAGGAACGAAAGATGGAGTTTAACTTGGATAAATGTGAGGTATTGCATTTTGGCAAAACGAACAAGAGCAGGACTTATACAATTAATGGCACCTCCCTGAGTAGTGTGGTAGAACAAAGAGACCTAGGGGATCAGGTAGACAGGGTGGTTAAGAAGGCTTTTTGCATGCCTGCCTTCATTGCTCAAGCCTTTGAGTATAGGAGTTGGGATGTCACATTGAGGTTGTACAGGATGTTGGTGAGGCCTCTTCTGGAATACTGTGTGTAGTTCTAGAAGCCCAATTATAGGAAGGATATTATCAAGCTGGAGAGGGTTCCGAACAGATTTACCAGGATGTTGCCAGGAATGGAGAGTTGAGTCATAAAAATAGGCTGGATAGGATGGGACATTTTTTACTGGAGCTTCGGAGGTTGAGGGGTGATCTTATAAATGTTTACAAAATCATGAGGAGCATAGATAAGGTAAATAACAAGGGTCTTTTCCATAGGGTGGGAGAGTTCAAAACTAGGGGCCATAGGTGAGAGAAGAAAGTTTTAAAAAGAACATGGGGGGAACATTTTTATACAGAGAATGGTTTGTGTGTGAAATGAACTGGCAGAAGAAGTGATGGATGCAGGTACACTTACAACATTTAAAAGACATTTGGATAAGTACATGAATAGGAAAGTTTTGGAGAGATATGGGCTGAACATGGGCAAGTGGGACTAGTTTATTTGGGAATGTTGTTGGCATGGACTAGTTGGACCAAAGAGTCTGTTTCCATGCTGTATGACTCTATGGCTCAATGACTCTAAATCTCTCTGTTACCCCATCAATAAACTCATTCAAGTGATTAAACATAATTTAGCTTTAACAACTCTGTGCTAGCTGTCTGCACCTAATCCATACTGTCCAGGTGGCTATTCATTTTGGCTGGATTATCTTATCTAAAAGCTTCAGCACCGCTGATGTCAAACTGATTAACCCATAATTGCATGTTTATACTTATACTCATTTAAGAACAGGTTGTGTAACAATCACAATCTGAAAGTGCTCTGGCACCACCTCCTTTATATCTACTTTCCATCCAGTCAGCCAGTACCTTCTCTTTGTCAATGTTCAATCCATTCAGTATGCCAGGCCTCTCCTCTTTCACTGTGACTTTGGTTGTTCTTTTTTAATAAAGACAAAGACAAGTATTGTTGTAGTACTATAGCCATGTCCGCCGACCCTATCTGTGTGTTTCATTTTTGATCTGTAACCTGAACCATCCCTCCTCCTATCACATGTTGATTATTTATTTGCTGTTTTGATTCTGTATTATGTTAGCTGTCTATCTTACTCTCATACTCTCTTATCTCACTTTTGACACGCCCTCTGAGCTTTCCCTATTTAGCCTGATTCTCTCTTGTGTTATAAACGTGACATCTGTCATACATAAACTTTTTCTGCTTCATTTTAACCTCTATCAATTTCATTGTCCAGAGAGTTTTGATTTTGGTTGCTGTGCTTTCTACCTTCTTTGGAATTTACCTAAATTGTGTTCAGACTACCTCTTCGTTAAAGGATGCTGATTGATTACAGTTTTGTCTGTCAATTGTTTATTTCAATTTATCTGAGCCAGATCCCTTTCCAACTCTCTGGAAATCCAACAAGCAAGCATTTTAATCTAGAATGCTTTTTATTCTATTGTGTAGCCTTATTAACTCATAGGATCATTGTATACTAGATAGTCACCTACTGGCTACTTGCTAAACTTGACTATCTCACTTCCCCACACCAGATTCAGCAAAGTGTCCCTCCTCTTTAAATAAAGATTTGCTCTAACATGCAGCCCTCTTAACATAATGAAAATTTTCAATCTGTATTTTCATGACATTTGTTATAGGTACACTGAAGCAAACGGAGGAAAGATAGAAGTGATTAAAGCCACAAGAAAATGTCTATCAGCCAAGTGTCAATTTATAAAAAGAAATCAATGTGAAAGCAGTTAGATACAAAAAGGAAGAATACTCATTTAATGTGATCCTCCTAGCTGGCCCACTATTAAAGGCTGGAATGAGATTCACCATCTGTAATTCTCAAGTTTTATTGCACTGTTTCATTGCATTGCAGCACTAACAGGTCATACTTTGGGTTGTACTGATTTTAAAACTTGATTCATTACATTAAATTCCATGTCTTCTGTGGCTTACTTTGTAGCACATTTGCCTAATGAGTCCCAATATTGTGGATTCAAGCCCTCTCCAATTCTCCAAAAAATCTATGCTGACACTAAAGTGCAATACTGAGGGAGACCTACTCTGTAGGTGATTCTGTCCTTCAGACGAGGCATTAAACTGAGGTCCTGCCTTCTCTCCAAGGTATTATTTTGAAGGAGAGTAGCGAATTATTCCTGGTGTGCTGGCCAATATTTATTGCTTAGTCAATACCATAAAAAATGATTATTTGGTTATTGCCACATTGCTGTTTAAGGGACTTGCTATGTACATATTGACTGGCACTTTCTCTGCATTATTACGCTGTAAGAGTTCTTCATAGGTTTTAAATTGCATTGGGATGTACTGTGGTCAATATATATGTGAGGTTTCTTTTACAATAAACAGATTAAGTTAAAGAAATGTTACATCTCAGCATATCTCTATGTAAAAGAGATATTTACCTTACTTCCAGAAGAGTATTCCCAAAATTCCAGAAAAGGGAAAATTTAGGCAGAGGTCATACTGCCTCACCAGTGGAATATAGTTTTACAAACACAGCTATTTATCCTAGAAGACAGACAAGATACAATAGTTCTACGCTCCAAATGAACGGCAGTTGGGGTGGGCAGCCTAGTATCAGCCTTAGCGCAAAGCGAGTACTGTCACCTCTGAAGTAGAAAGTCAGAGATTAAAATACACACCAAGTTTAAGAGCATTATCTCTGCCGACACTTAATTTAGTACTTTACTATCAAAGATGCAGTCCTTTGAATGAGACAATTAAAAAAAAGTCAGCTTGCCTTTCAGGTGGACTTAAACGATCCATTGTACTTTTTCTGAAGACCAGGACTCCTCCGGTATTGTGGCTGATATTCATATTTCAACACCATGAAAGACAAAATGTCTGATCATTCACTTCACTTGTTGTTTCTGCAAACTGTGACAATAGACTGCCGTGTTTGCCTGCATTAAAACAGTGACAACATTTAAAAAATAATTTGTTACTTGTGAATCACTGTGTACCACTCTGAAAAGGTGAAAGGTTCTTTCATAGTGGGTACTTAATTTAATCTTCATGTCTAGCTCTCCAGCTCCACAGTGCACAAGTCACAACTTGGGAGCTATTGGGCTCCATTACATTTGATTGAGGCATGGAGCAAATTTACACAAGGGAAGGGTAAAGAAGTACAGAGTAAATTCACTGCTTGAAACATGCATAGGCTATTTATTTTGCAAAAATTGCCATGTTAGGAATTTCACACATAATTCAAAGAGAAACGTGGTATTAAAAGAGTTTGTAGAAAATTCCCAATTAAGGGTTATTTAATTTTTTTTTTCTTTTTAACAACGGGTTCTTGAAAATTGATTTTCTTTAATTAATTTACCTTTATTCAGGATTATTCGAACAAAGGTGCAGCAGCCTCCAAACCAGCAATCGCCAGTGACGTCCCATACTATAGGTGAGAATCATTGCTATTATATCACTTCCCCTCTGTTTGAAAAATCTGATATTCTATCTCTGGATTAAATGATATCTACAATGAGCCCTTAGCTCTGTAGGAAGTCATTCTTGCTCTCTGTCCAAATCCTTCCTGTGTTGTTTGTTGTGACCTCCACCCCATGCAGTCTGCATTCACCTTGTTTGCCTGAAAACAGCATAATCAAGACCGCCATCTCATTTCCTGGATGCTATTGCCTTTTCATAGTATCGTTGTAGCTGAACTTATTCCAGCAACTGGAAAGTATTCAATCATACTCCTGACTTCTGCCTTGTAGAGGGTGGGATGGCTTTGGCGAGACAGGTGGTGAATGGCAATAATTCCCAGCTTCTGACTTGTTCTCGTAGCCATAGGATTTTTGTGGCTGGTTCAGTCAAATTTTTGGTCAATGGCAGCTGGCAGGATTTTGATAATGGGACATTTGACAATGGTAATTTCAATTAATATCAAGGGAAGGGGATTACACTTTCCCTTGTTGGATATGGCCATTGCCTGGCACTTGTGGGGCATGAATGTTACTTGCTACTTATCAGTCCGTGTACACATTTGTCAAGATCTTGCTACGTGTGGGGAAGGTCTGTTTCATTATCTGAGGAATTGTACATGGAGGTGAACAGTGTGCAATGATCAATGAAAATTTCCACACCTGACCTTATGGTAGAAGTAAGATGATTAACAAAGAAGCTAAAAATGATTTAGCTTAGGATGCTGTCCTGAGCAGATCCTGTGGAAATGCCCTGGAGCTCAGCTGATTGGCCTTTAACAACCAAAACCATCTGCCTTTGCGATACATATGCCTCCTTTTAGTGAAGAATGTTTTCCCCGATTAGCTTGCCTTTTGTGGATAGGATATGCCCAGGCTATTTCCATATTGTCGGGTAGTGCTGGGATTGTAACTGCTGGATCAGCCAGATTGAGGCTGGCATGTTGTCAGGGTCCCTAACCTGTGCTGAAGCCAGTGTGCTCAGCTGTTCCTTGGTATCATATCGAGTGAGTGAAATTGGCTGAAGACAGACTTCTGTTCATGGTGGGTACCTGAAGAATTGGTCAAAATAGAACACCTGTAGCACCTTTGGCTGAAGATGGTTGTAAATGCTGCAACCTTGAATTTTGTCATTAGGCAAAGGGCTCTGCCATAATTGAAGTTGCAGATGTTCACAAGAGGTTAGCTAATTGTCCACCACCATTCATGATTGGATGTGATACAGAGTTTTGATCTGATGCATTGGTTGTAAAATCATTTCAATCTGTTTATCTCATGCTGCTTCTGCTGTTCAGCATGTATGCAGACCTGTGTAGTACCTTTGCCAGATTTGCATCTAAAATTTTGGTACATCCTTTCAAGCTCTTCTACACTGCTTTTTTAAACCATGTGTGTTCCTTGTATTGATGGGAATCATTTTTTCAAAAATATACTTTATTCGAAAAATTTTCAGAAGTTCAATAAAAATTAGTTCAATTTGACATTAAACAAGTGCAGTTAAGTTTCATATTCCGCCTCAGGAGCCTACAGCCTGATGGCCTAAACAGACAATTCATCAGTTTCAAAATCTCCCCACCCCTGGCCTCAGCCCATGTCCAACTCTCCCTCTCATCCCTGCTTTCTTGACCTGACACTATCTGTCTATTTCCTTCCCTACCTATCTGCCTCACCCTTCCCACTGACCAATCCCCACTAACCCCTACCTGTATTCACCCATTGCCATCCTACCTACCTTCCCCCAGCCCCACCCCTCTCCCCTCTATTTATTTCCCACATCCCTTACCCCTCCCCAGTCCTCATGAAAGTTCTAGGCCTGAAACATCGACTCTCCTGCTCCTCTGATACTGCCTGACCTGCTGTGCTCCTCCAGCTCTGCACTGTATCAGTTCTGACTCCAGCATCTGCAGTTCTTGCCATCTCTAAGTTTCTTTCAATATTGTACATTGGGTTCCTCAATAGACTTGACATAGAAGTTTATATTTACAATGTTCATTTATAGTTTCTGTCAAACCTTCTTTGGTATAAACAACCTAAAGTGCTTTACATTGTTCTCAATCTCTTGCTATACTATGGTGGAAAGGCTTTAGTCAGTGGCTTTCCCATTTAGTCTTTGCAGCAGTTGTCCCATGCTTTGGTCCTTCTCTCAGCAAATAGTCTTTTACCTTGAAATATACCAGTCTGCAATACTCAGTCACCGACAGCTCTTTGCACTGGAAGACTAGCAGATCAGACCAAGTGAAGTCTTTCATTGAGTTGATTGTCTTCTAGTTAATATTTAGATCAATGTGCATCCCTGGTAATATCCCTGTGTTGCTAGTAAAGATAGAATGAGGAATGTGCTGGACTATAAGGCTACAGATTGTGATCGAATACAATTCTGTTACCGCTGATAGCCTACTGTATCTCATGAAAACTCATCTCCTGCACCTGGCCATGCCTAGCCTTGATATGAATACACATTAGGCCACTATTGTATTCATTCTTGATCAGACTGATCTGAAAACATGATAGGAGGATTAACCTCTAATTAGTTACTACTCATTTGAGCAATAACTGAAACGTAACCTGATTGTTATTATGGTTGGGTTTCTCTGTTTAACAATCAGAATGCTCAAATTCTCAATTGCCTCTGTATTTCTAAGCAACTTAATACTTCAAATGAAATTTGCCAATATAACTTGAGTTTTGAAGTCTGACGATTATTATGATAAAAAGATTTCATATTGTAATACAAAATTGAAATCTAAAATTTAAAGCAGCAATAGAATGGCCATTGAATGTGATGTAATTAAAGTAATAAATTCACAAAGGGGACTATTCATTACATTTTCTGCATCATTAGGTACTAAGGAGTTATGAAAGTTTTTTTTCTTTTCTTTTAATTCCTGTTCTCCTGTGTTGATTGTGTCTTTGGAGTTCTTAGCATGAGATTCAGGTTTCTATTAAAATTGAACTTTTTTAATTCATAAGTTTTAAGCATAACTCTCTGTGCTCCTGTATGTTTATGCTTTACAGCACTGATGGATTATCGATTGCTAAGCTCTGCATTGACTATGCTGTAAAGTGGTTGTTTTAGGCACAGTGGTACTTAAGGTTATTAAGGTTTCATTGAAGAACTCCCTTTTCATTCTCACTACCTTTCCTGAAGACGGTGCTTCATGTTGCGGAATGGTTTCACTGGTAGTTAGATCTTCAGTACCTCAATTGAGTGTCTTTATGTGCTAGCTTAGACGGTGAACTTCAGCAGATAGTTTGCCTGTACACAGTATCGTACTATAGTATAGTATTGACTGTGGATAAATTATTAAGTGCAGTTCGTTCCTTTCAATGGAATGACCAATTTAGAGACTGGCAAAGCCAACTCAAGCAAAGAAATTGATTTCATTGACCAAGTTCCATTGGCTTCTAATAGATTCAACAGACCAAATTCAAAGTTTCTAATGGGTTCAATAGTTGAATATACATAACTTCTCACAGTTTTAATGGATTAATTTCTGAATATCTTCAAATCAGGATCTTTAGGTTGGAAGTTTCGTGTTCAATTAATTAAGACAAAGCAACACAGAGACTGCTACATTGGTTAAACGTAACTAGTGTGGGGCTACAGTAAAGCAAAATCAATTATAAATGGAGTGTAGAGCCAATTGTGTTAACTGTTTGACTTTCAGATGTTTCCCGATGAGTGGTCTGGCTGCTCTTATATTCAAACGAGAAACCTAGGGTTGGAAAATCCATAGGCCATAGGTCCTGTCACAAATGTTGGGATCCACCTGTGAATTCTAGGAAAAAATATTATTCTTATCATTGTCAACTTAATGATGAAGGGAGACCAGATGTGTAGAGTTGAATGCCTTTGACAAAACAATGCATATTTCGATTTGAGTTAAATTTACCACTGTGGCTGCAGATCAGGTTTATTTCTCCTCTCCAGCATTGGATGTCTACAATCCAAATCTCATTCATCCTGAGTGTAGAAGATAGCTTTCTGTGGTGATTATTTTGAAACTCAATCTCAGGATTGGTTTCACATAGGAGGAAGTTCCAGATCCGGGTAGTTTCTTTTTCTATTCTGTCTAAATCTTGCTGTTGTCGTTTTACACAGCACCAAGCACAGTGGCAGTGACTCCTGTTCCATCTGCTGCCACTGACCCTGCGGGATCTTCCTACTCTATCAGTGGCATTCTGGGAATCACACCTTCCAGTGCTGAGAATAACAAGAGAAAACGCGATGAAGGTAAGTGTAAGAACACTAGATTGAAAAAAAAACTCTCCTTTAGGGAATTAAGAAGAATGTTATCATGTTAAAGAGAGAAATGCAAACATTTTCTCCTTGTACAGACAGAATATTCTACTTTTTCCATTAAATCCAAATTCTTCACTGGTATGAAGTCAGAACTGGATCAATGATGCCTTGATATGGTTAGCACTATGAATGATGATGGAGCACAACTTTTGGGAGCTGATGCTAAAGTTGCAAAGATATAACTTCATGTGGAAATAAATAAATTCAAATTGATTATTATTTACACCAGACATCATGTAACAATATACTTTTCAATTGCAGGAAAAAGTTCAGGTATTATATTACTTCAGCAGAAATTAATGCTGTTTTGAAGTGTAAAATATTTTATGACAACCAACATTTTGGAATTTAAAGACATTGTCTCACTATGTTTTATATTTTCTTAGTTGATATTCTTGATTTTTTTATGATTGGTTGTAGATAGGAGGTAGCATGAAATGTGACAGGTGATAAATAGGACAATGAAAACTATGTACAAAACCAAAAGCTTCTCCAGGTACCTTATTTTTACTGTCCCTGATATTACTGTGTGAACCTTTTTACAACATGTTAAGTTTGAAAAGTATAGTATTTTGCCGTAACAGAGGCGTATGTGCAGACATTTTCACGGAGACGTTGTTTGCACTGCCAGTTAATTGAAATGCTGCAATAGGCAGGAGTTAATAAGGTAACGGTGATCATAAGACAGAGTTCTCCAGCTGTGGACCTGTTTACTGAAATGTGAAGACCAGGAAAGGAAAGATGACACACTGTTCAATTCTGAACAATATTGGAGGGGGTTGGGGGTTGTGGGGATGGGTGCACACTTTATGCATGCTTTTTATTCACTGTGTTTTTGTAAAGTTCTACTTTAGCAGTTTTCTGAGCTGTGAAACCTAATTCAGGCTGTTGTGAGATATGCCACACACTCTGAACAATTGTCCTAATGAATATGAAGCTCTGTTCAGTCCAGGATTTGTCACAAAAGTGCGGTACATATTTTTTATTAATATTCTAACTATACCTGAAGTGTCTGCCTTCCAATATATGCTTTCCCAATTAGCTTATCTAACTTTGATTTGCCATCTTGTATAGAGATAGCATTATAATTTGCATAAATATTAAAACATCAGCATATTACAAACATATTATTTAAAAACGTATAGCTTTCCAGTGGCATTTCAGCAAGTTGGGAAGTTTAATTTTTGAACGTGTGGAAGGGAAGGCATCCATAATCTTTCACTATTTCTTAGCTCACATCATGTTGGAGTGTGGGCCAGGACCTTAGATCCATCCCAGTATCCTTTGTATTTCCACCAGCAATAAGGATTCTAACGAATTGTTAGCTATAATTTTATTTGCAGAATACTATTTTAATAACAACAAAACAACACATTTGGGAGAAATATTCTCTTCAAAGGCCTTAAAGTGGGTTACTAAAAACATTCAGAGACCAAATTAATTGTTTAACTTCTGAATTGCTTTATATCTGAGGTTTTGGCATTTTTCAAATGACACCATCTCTTTCAAGTTAGTGGGTGTTTGATGTTGGTTAGAGCATGAATTCCAACCAGAAGAATATGGGAATCAAAGTGGAAGACAGATGGAATTTATTTTCTTGCTACAGATCCAGGCTACTTTACCAATTTTGCATGAACTCTTTCTGTTAAAGATGTTGAGTGCTACCGAGAACATTTCCATGGGTGCTGCTCATCATCTGGCGGCTCATTAAACAGTTTTTGCTCAATGTGCAGCTCAACAGTGGTTCACTCTGCTACAGTGGACTTTGTAGCAAAGTACACTAATGAATATGTTGCTCCTTCCCTTCCATGGATGCTGATGGAAGGCTAATTGTCGTATTGCCACTCTGGTTCAGGCTGAAATCAGTGCATTGGGCACCAATCTTGGCATCTTTTCTAGAATTCAGCTGTATTTTCCTTTTACAAACTGAACTTTGTATTTATTATCCAAGTGTTTAATACAGAATCATAGCTTTTATTTAAACTTACTCCTTCCTGGCATGTGGGCATTGCTGACAATACTTAAAAATCTGATGCTATGCTGTTTTTAAAAGTTGTTGTTTTTCAAGGAGGAATTGTTTTGAAGTGAGTCATGAGGTATAATATTTTGGAGAACCCAGGAGTGTCATTGGTATGTAACTCTTGGGACTCATAAGTTCATGCCATTGTGTTTTGTGTGACTTGATCCTGTGCTTTTTGCAGAACTGAATAAAAATAATACAATTTCTTGATCAGTCTTATAAAGTTGGGTGGAATTGTGGTTTCATTGGCAATTGAAGAGGTTGAAATAGGTCTCAGTTGTGATGCTGTATGCAAACAAATTGCCTGAACAGATCTACTGTGTATGTGATTTTTGAAGGATAGGCGATTGTTTGATATAGTAGATGATAGCCACCTTTGCAGTTGTTCCCTAACAAGGGACTGCACCTTTAGGGAACATTGAAACATATCAGCACAGTTATACCATACGCTCTGCAATCTAGATCATGGCTGATCATCTTCCCCACTACCACATCCCTGCACTATCCCCATATATCACTTAATGTTATTAAAGTTTTGGCAAAGATCTGTAGCTCACTTAACAACCTCACCTAATGTCATAGTAACTATGAATCTATCAATCAATCTCTTAAACTTACTAACTGAGCTTCCAAAGCTCTCTGGAGGGGTTAATTCCAATGATCCACTACACTGAGGGAAGCAGTTCCTAAATGACTTGCCTTTGGTGAAGGAGCAAATGAGTTGACATTTTCAGAGTGGGGAGAAAGTCAGCACCTTTACAGTAGGAGGAAGAGAGAGTCATTTTCTTCAGAACAGTAGAAGAGAGTGAGAGAGCAAGAGAGAGAGGAGGGAGAGAGTCAGAAACCTTGAGGAATAGATAGAAAGAACAAGAGTCAGCAGCCTCAGGGATGGACAGAGAGTCAGTACCTTCAGGGACAGGAAGAGTAACTCAGCACCTTCAGGGAGGGAGAGAAAAATCACAGGTTGGAATAGAATAACTATCTTTCTGGTTGGAGGTTTTAATGGACTAAGGTTGATGAGCACTGAGAATTGAAACTCATGCTTGACCGAATGAGACGGTCTCGATTTATTCCAGCTCTGCTTTTCATATTAGGATTTCTAACTAACAACTTTCCTCATATGCACCTGACTTTATCAGAGGAAGTGTAAGATTTTAATGAACTTTGTTATCGCTGACCAAGACAGCTTTACAATATCAGTAAGTAACATTTACAAACAGTGCAGGCATTCTGAGTTTGGGGTATTGAAAGCAGGCTGTAATCTAAATAACCTCAGGGACTCTGAAACTCCTGTACAACCTAATAAGCTCATAGCTCATTAACCACCACATATAAAATATTTTCTTAATTTTGTGAAATGTGGACTCCAAGTGCCTATTTTCAAAAGAAGCAGCGAAGAGACAAGAGTAGGCTACTCAGTCCCTTGGGTACATATCTTCATTCAGTTAGATCATGGCTGATATGTACCTCAACTTCATATCCCTTGATAGGTTTTATTTTGGGTAAAAGTTATCAATCTGGACTTATAAGTTCCAAGTGCCTTAGTATCCAAAGCCCTTTAGTGCAGAGAATTGCAGTTTTCTACTGTCTCTATTGTGTGAAGAAGTGCCTCCAGATTTCCCTCCTAAATAGTCTAGGTTGCATTTTAATGTTATGTTACCTTGTTCTTGACTCCTTCATCAGGGGAAATCCTTTCCCTTTAGATTCCTTTTAACACTTTAAAACCCTCAGTGCCCTCAAAGAAATGCATATATTTAAGTCCCAGTTGCCTTCTGGTGAATCTGGCTGAACACCGTTCTATGCTGATATATATTTCCTCAGATATGGTACACAAAATCAAACTGTATGCAGAATTCTATATGGAGTCTAATGAAGGCTATAATGCCACTGAAGCATACCTTCCGTTCTTTTGTATTTCCTCTACCTTGAGATGGAAGCCAGCATTTCATTAGCCTGTTCGAATGTCTTTTTTACCTGTCTTGTAGCTCTAAATGATTTGTGTACTTTGATGCCAAATCTCATTGTTCTTCTGCAGTTCCTAACCTTTCAGCATTTGGAACATGTTCTGAATTATCTTTGTCAGGTCAAAGGTGAATGACCACACACTTGCAACGTTAAACTCTATCTGTCATAGTTTTGCCAACCCATTTAATCTATATGCGTTGTTTTGCAACTTTCTGCTTTCATTTGCCCTACTGAATGTGCCTCCTAATTTAGGCTACATGCAAACTTAAATAAATAATTCTCCATTCCTTCATTCAAGTCAATAATATACATGGTGAAATTAGGTCCCAGAATATTGTTACAACCTGATGATTAGAATACCTACCTCTCTTTTTCTACTGCATCTCCAGTCTCCTAATTAATTTAGCCTGAGTCAAAAGCCCGCCTTGAATTCCCACACTCTCATTTTATTTCCAATGGATATGAACGATTCAATGATCTACACAAGCCAGTAAAATGGGTTTATTACATAAATGAAAACTAAAAATAAAAGTTTACTTTACCATAATGTAGATGGTTCAAAAGGAAAAACTCAAAATGTTTTACTATTTATATAGTTCCAATCATACCTTAGGACTTGCCAAAACATTTTGAAGACTATTTCCATTTGAATATTTCTTAATTGTATTCCCATTATATTACACGAAAAGCTTCTTAGTTGGACTCAGTAAATAGAAGGTTAAATGCTCCTAGTTGGCTGATTTCAGTCAGGGCAGTAAAAGGGGGTTAAAATAATTTAACCCAGCTCCATTTCCACTTTCAGTTCACTTTTCAGTAGCTCCTTCCTGGAAGCTGCATGATTGCAGATATCATGTGAGGACAGGACCGGGTCTGGGACCATAATGCTTCCATGGTTGAATAGGCTATTAGTACATCCATGAGGAACAGCTGCTTGGAAGAACTGTGG